CAGCTCCAGACTACAGCAACGTGGGCCTGCCCGCCGTCTGGGACTTCCCTTACGACCGTGCTGCAGGTCAGCTCCGACACTAGCGTTTGTAATCAGTAGTGTAAATGGAGACGTAGACCGTGCGCACGGTCTACGTCTCCGTTTACACTACTGTAATCAACATATTTGGGTATATGTGCAGCTATGCAGCTTCCCTAGACTATATGAAGGGTTACGTAGCTTGTGTCACAAGTTATGGGGTACTGAATGTTGCAGGATGTTGGTCATATGGTGTGTGTGTTCTGTAGTCTGCATTAGCAGACTTCGGATGATAGGTAGACTTACCTTGTCTGCCTACCCTTCTGTAAGTAGACACAAGGTTACCTAGGACTCTCATATCTAGTACAGAACCTCTCACAAAAGCAGTACAGGTCTCTCATGCCTAGCACACAGCCCCCACACATGAAGCGCACAGCCCCACATATACAATACAATACAATACAATACAATACAATTTTATTTAGGTAAGGTACATACATACAATAAATATTTACAAGGATTGTTTGACTTATAGGTATAGCTAGTACATACAATGCCTAAAGCCACTATTACGCAAAGCGTTTCGGGCATGATAAACTTAAATGACAAGCTTAATACTAATTGAGCATAATGAGTAGAATGAAAACAAGAAATGAAAACATAGATGAAAAAGCAGCACAAATACAATTATGTCGACAAACAGCGCTCTTTAAAGAAAAAAACAGACATTGGTTGACAATAGAAGGGTAAGGTAGGTTACAGGGAATTTATTAGGTATAGCTTCGTTTTTAACTTAAACTGGTTGAGAGAGGTACAGTCTTTAACATGGTTGGGAAGGTCATTCCACATTCTGGGCCCCTTGATTTGTAGAGCATTTCTAGTTTGATTAAGTCGTACTCTAGGAATATCAAACTGTATTTATTTCTGGTGTGATGCTCATGGGTTCTGATACAACCTTCTATGAAGCTTTTGAGATCAGGATTGGCATTATAGTTTAGCGTTTTATATATGTATAATACACATGAGAGAATGTGCAGTGACTTAATGTCTAACATATTCAGAGATTTAAGTAGGGGTACCATGAAGCACACAACCCCACACATGATGCGCACAGCCCCACACATGAAGCACACAGCCCCACACATGAAGCACACAGCCCCACACATGAAGCACACTAACAGTTCACGTGGTGTTGACAGTGTCGAGTGCCCTGGTGAGTGACCCAGCCTGTGCTAACCGAGCCATCAATCTTATCTTCATCTCCTCGAGGACCTATGACCGCACAGCCTTCGACTTTGTCAACGAGGCGTAAGTATTTCACCCACTCCCTACAATGCCCACTTACGTACCCACTCCCTACGATGCCCACTTACGTACCCACTCCCTACGATGCCCACTTACGTACCCACTCCCTACGATGCCCACTTATGTACCCACTCCCTACGATGCCCACTTACGTACCCACTCCCTACGATGCCCACTTACGTACCCACTCCCTACGATGCCCACTTACGTACCCACTCCCTACGATGCCCACTTACGTACCCACTCCCTACGATGCCCACTTACGTACCCACTCCCTACGATGCCCACTTACGTACCCACTCCCTACGATGCCCACTTACGTACCCACTCCCTACGATGCCCACTTACGTACCCACTCCCTACGATGCCCACTTACGTACCCACTCCCTACGATGCCCACTTACATACCCACTCCCTACAATGACCACTTACGTACCCACTCCCTACAATGCCCACTTACATACCCACTCCCTACAATGCCCACTTACATACCCACTCCCTACGATGACCACTTACGTACCCACTCCATACGATGACCACTTACATACCCACTCCCTACGATGCCCACTTACGTACCCACTCCATACGATGACCACTTACATACCCACTCCCTACGATGCCCACTTACGTACCCACTCCATACGATGACCACTTACATACCCACTCCATACGATGACCCACTTACGTACCCACTCCATACGATGACCACTTACATACCCACTCCATACGATGACCACTTACGTACCCACTCCATACGATGACCACTTACATACCCACTCCCTACGATGCCCACTTACGTACCCACTCCATACGATGACCACTTACATACCCACTCCATACGATGACCACTTACGTACCCACTCCATACGATGACCACTTACGTACCCACTCCATACGATGACCACTTACATACCCACTCCCTACAATGCCCACTTACATACCCACTCCCTACAATGCCCACTTACATACCCACTCCCTACAATGCTCTACAACAATTCAAAATGAAGCTTTTAGTGTATTTCTTCGACACATAACTTTCTCTTGATGGAGTTTTAAAAACCGAGAAATGAACAAAGGGAAAATTTTCTGCGAGCACAGGAAGAGTTTTTCTGGCAGAAGTTATCAGCGTTGTAAGTGATTCTGCTTCCATAAGGATCAATTGCTTCCATAAGGATCAATTCTATAGTTTGATTGCCTAGTTCCCTGTCCGAAACTCTGCAGGAATCACAGCGCGATGCTCAACATTGTCACGGCAGCCGTCGGGTGTTGGAGTTAAGAGTCAGACGACCTCTCAATGATTTTGGAGTCTGATGGCACAGTGGTTATGGTACTGGTCCCGACAAGGAGCATGGAGACCATGGCTGACCGGGTTGCAATCCTTCAGAGGTCATGAGTTTTCTGATGCATATATATATATAATATATATATGATTTTGACTGAAAACTCACACCCCAGAAGTGACTTGAACCCATACTCCCAGGAGCAACGCAACTGGAAACTACAGGACGCCTTAATCTGCTTGACCATCACGACCGGACAAAAGGAAGTGATAGCCGAAGTTATTTGAACCACTTCCCCGCCTGCACTCGGATGGTAATCTTCGAAGTGATTGCCTCGGCTATCACTTCCTTTTGTCCGGTCGTGATGGTCAAGCGGATTAAGGCGTCCTGTAGTTTCCAGTTGCATTGCTCCTGGGAGTATGGGTTCGAGTCACTTCTGGGGTGTGAGTTTTCAGTCGCATATAGTCCTGGGGACCATTCAGGCTTGTTCGCATATATATATATATATATATATATATATATATATATATATATATATATATATATATATATATATATATATATATATAAATATCCCTGGCTGGAAGAAGGGGACCTTTAGCCTCGGCAGAAACCACACATAACGCATTAGAGGGAATGTTTAGGTCACTTATAATTAAATTATATTATATAAAAGAATAAAGTGAGATAAACCCAAATGGTTAGACTATGTGAGACATAACTAAGTGTTACTTGGCTGTACAACACAAGCCGCTACCTCTACCAGGTACAGTCACCTACCTTCCCCTTGACCTGTCGGGTTCAGTAGCGAGCCCCACCTTTGTGTTCGCCGTGTTTACATTGACGACCATTAGAAGACATCCGCCATTCGTCTCCTGGGTTACTAAAGGTGCTTCTGCTCGGTAGGAACGAGTGTGGCTTTTGTGTAGCGAGTTTGTTTCTTAGTTTACTCTCAACAGTCAGTGTTGATATTATATACGACACCGCCTGTTATTGATGTTAATAATATATATCAAGAATACGCTGGTGCCGAGCCCAGGTCCGAGGCGCTCCACCTCTTGTACAAAGTATGTATATCTAAGATTAAACGTTTTCAGGCATCTAAATTTTATGTTTAAACATATTTTAATAGCTAATACAAGTAGTTTCAAAAGTAAATATTACACAAGAGTCGGGAACAGCCTCATTAAACAAGTAAACACCTGGGGCCAGATTCACGAAGCAGTTACGCAAGTACTTACGAACGTGTACATCTTTCCTCAATCTTTGACGGCTTTGGTTACATTTATTAAACAGTTTACAAGCATGAAAATTTCCCAATCAACTGTTGTTATTGTTACAAAACAACGTCCTGGTACTTCGGAGCTTATTAACTGTTTAATAATTGTAAACAAAGCCGCCGAAGATTGAGAAAAGATGCACAGGTTCGTAAGTGTTGGTGTAACTGCTTCGTGAATCTGGCCCCAGGATTTAGCACCTGACTATAGCACATGTAGATGAGTACGAACACATTCATTAAAGCTATTACGAGCTCACCATAGCCCGTGCTACATAGATACTTGGCTCTGAGTAGGTAAATCTAAAAGAAGAAGATCATTAAAGCTGGTGACTGTACCGCCACCCGCAGGAGGATGACTCCGTCACCAAACTACATCGTAGACTCTCACACGCTGACGGTGAACGTGACGTGTGACGCCGCCCCCAAAGGTGCCCCCAGTAACGCCTCCAGCTGCCAGCCCTCCGCCGATGACCTCCTGAGTAACCCCGTGAGGCTGAAGCTCCGTCACACGGTGGTCAACACCTACCCGTCCAGGGCCCTCAAGTTCCACCAGGGCAGGTTGGTTAAGGAGGTGAGGCCACGGCACGCAGTTTCTCAACCATCATATGACTCAACCAATCATTCCCCTGTACCACCATCCACTGTTAACCACCTCCCACCACCAGTAACCACCACCCACCACCAGTAACCACCTCCCACCACCAGTAACCACCACCCACCACCACTCACCACCACCCACCACCACCCACCACCACTCACCACCAATAACCACCATTAACAACATCTTCAACCACTAATCTCAACATTTGACAACTAACCAACCATCCACAACTATTAATTAACGACTCTCCGACAGATTACGGCTCGATACTGTGTGTGGTGGAACCCAAACCTGAGCGACTTCGGTGTGTGGGACAGCTCGAACTGCGTCCTCTTAGAGACTACTGAAGAGTACACCAAGTGCGCATGCGCTCAACTGGGCACTTTCGCCGTCATGGCGAAGAGGACCCCGCCTAAGGTGGGTGACCTTCCCTGCTCTGCCTGCCTTGTTCCGTCCTCTACAGTGTGTCCTGGACAGCTGACTACTCATTCACATGACCTTGTGTGATCCTGTCCAGTGTGTGTTGGATGGGTGACCATTCAAACATACACACTTCCTTGTATTGTTTTGCCCGGGATGACAAGAACAGATAGACTCTTGGAGGCTCTTTATTCTTGAATTCTTTCACCCAAGATGCTGATGAAGGGTACTCACTGCTGCTCTCACTCGACTTACATGTGTCTAGTTCTACCTAACACACACACGGAGGAGTCTGCGCCTTGTCTCTTCTTTCTGTACCTGTTACTATCCTGTGTGTCCCAGTAGGTACACCCAGGAGTAGGAGTGGAGTCTTCCCTACTACTCCACTTCTCTAGGTCACCCTTGAGGGCCCAGGACACTCCTTACTATTCAAGCTCTAAATCTATCCAAGAAGCAAAATTATGTGGGCATCTTTTACATTCCCTACCTTGGTATGTCTCGTTTGGTAAGGTCTACTGCTCAATCTTATTTTTACAGCCTCACTTAGCCAGTTACTAGGTGCTCTTAACTCAAACTTTCTGTCACGCTTTCTATGGAGCCTCTTCTTGCCAGATTCAACCCTAAGTCATAGGTAAGTTATTCAGAACTGAGTAGTAACAGACAATCCAACGGGAATGGGAGTAAACAACACTATACAAAACCATCACATGTACTTTTGAACTATATACATTTGTTACATATGTACAACACACAACACCGCAGGTGTCACTTTCACACACAACATTACACAAGAACTTCTGCCATCTTCTGTCCCGGCGACTCCACTACTCTCATCTATGGTGCAACACTCAAGGTTCCTTCCCTGAGCCTTCCTTCTAAGGTTCTCACGCCAGCGAGTCCACCTTTATCAGTAGATCCCCGGCCAGTCCTCCACAGTATCATCACAGTGTCAAAACACCACTTTTGATTCTCCAGCAACACGCTGGCTGGCTGGCTTGCCCTAAAGACATTTTTCCATGGTTTTAAGCTGATAGCACAGATTTTGTCCTGTGACCTAAACTTTTCTTACATTTTTTTTTTTTTTTTTTGAGATATATACAAGAGTTGTTACATTCTTGTAGAGCCACTAGTACGCGTAGCGTTTCGGGCAGGTCCCTGGAATACGATCCCCGCCGCGAAGAATCGTTGTTACAACCAAGTACACATTTTACTGTTGAGTTAAACAGAGGCTACAGTTAAGGATTTGCACCCAGTAAATCCTCCCCGGCCAGGATACGAACCCATGACATAGCGCTCGCGGAACGCCAGGCGAGTGTCTCACCACTACACCACGGAGACTGAATTTTTAATTGGTCATAGAAAGGTGACTCTGTAGTTATTTATGTAAAGTTGTTTCTTAACATTTCAAATATGTGAATTTCAATCAACTAAATCCTAAACCCTTTATCAAACGTAATAATAACGTATTAAATTATATTTAATGCATACATTTTAAATTATGTACAAATATTTAGTGTGTGTGTGTGTAATTAAGTGTAGTTACAGAGACTATATACCTGTAAATATGATTACCATATATCTGTTAAGATTCCTGTACATAAGGATGTTTTGAATATTAATTGCAGTAGAATGCTCAGCTCAGTTGCACATTCTCTCAGCACCCAAGGTGAAACTTCAGCAGGTCCAACTGCTTTATTTCTTCCTATCCCCTTCAGTAATTGTCGCACTTCGTCTTGAGATACCTCTGTGTTTTCTATGGTGTTCTCTGGTATTGGCATTGGGTCCGGCTCTCTGAAATCCTCAGTTTGTACACTGTTCATTTAGCATTTCACATATTTCTTTTTCATTCTCTGTAATCCTGTTCCCCGATCTCAATCTCTGGATTCTATCCTTGAAATGCAGCTTGCTTTTAATGAATTTATAGAAAAGGACTGGATTTGTTTTACAATTGTCTGCTATTCCTTTCTCAAAGTTCCTTTCTGCCTCTTTCCTCCCCACTGTGTATTTGTTGCTTGCTAGTTGGTACTTACCTAGTTGTGCTTGTGGGGGGTTGAGCTTTGGCTCTTGGTCCGCGGATCAGAGCGGGAATGTTTGAGGGTTTGGCTTCTTCCTATATTGAACCCATTTGCTTGTCTTTTTCCTCTCTGGTCCTCTCACAATTTCTGTTGAAGCAATCCCGTTTTCTGGTTCTGCATCTCTGTTTTGGTATGAATGTGTGTTGTGTGCCTTTATCACATTATATATATATATATATATATATATATATATATATATATATATATATATATATATATATATATATATATATATATATATATATATATATATATATATATATATATATATATATATATAATGGTATACGTGAGTGTGCACGCATTATGTGAGTGCAGGAGTGTGTATCTGTCTGACTGTTTCTGTTGCGGGAGTGTTGGGTGGTGTCAAAGAAATTTTGCTGTCAATGGTCAGTTTTCTTTGAAACCCTGATTTAAGGCTTATTCTGTTTAATTAAATTTTAATGTTTTGTTTCAACTATAATATTAAAGCAAGGCGAAAAGATAAACCACAGCAGTAATGTGATTATATTAATATTTCCTTGATAATTAATATTGTTAGAATTTCAAAATGGCAAAAAATATAAATACCTGAGCTGCGGGCATAACAATTTCTGGCTTCAACCTCCAACCTAGTGGCTGTGTCTCCCCGTCTGGACCTGTAACCCTCACTGACGGAAGCCAAAAACGTCATTGACCCATTCACTGAAGAATATCCGCGTGACTCGGGATTTCTTATTGAGCCTCCACATCACATTCAGTCGCGTCTTGTACACTTAACACGTCTTGAACACTTGTAAATTTTCTGAGTGGTAGACGAGCAGCGGCTTGACCTTGCAATCGTCACTTGCATTGGCGCAGAGCACGAGGGTAAGCCGATCGTTCATCGGTTTGTGGCCTGGCAAAGATTGTTCCTCTTGTGTGATGTAGGTCCTCTTCGTCATTTTCTTCCAAAACAGTCCAGTCTCGTCACAATTCAAAACTTGTTGGGGCAAGAACTCTCTAGCAACAAATTCCTGGAATTCTGGCACAAATTTTTTGGCAGCAGCTTTATCAGAGCTGGCAGCAGCTTTATCAGAGCTGGCAGCAGCTTTATCAGAGCTGGCAGCAGCTTTATCAGAGCTGGCAGCAGCTTTATCAGAGCTGGCAGCAGATTTATCAGAGCTGGCAGCAGATTTATCAGAGCTGGCAGCAGATTTATCAGTGCTGGCAGCAGCTTTATCAGAGCTGGCAGCAGCTTTATCAGAGCTGGCAGCAGCTTTATCAGAGCTGGCAGCAGCTTTATCAGAGCTGGCAGCAGCTTTATCAGAGCTGGCAGCAGCTTTATCAGAGCTGGCAGCAGCTTTATCAGAGCTGGCAGCAGCTTTATCAGAGCTGGCAGCAGCTTTATCAGAGCTGGCAGCAGCTTTATCAGAGCTGGCAGCAGCTTTATCAGAGCTGGCAGCAGCTTTATCAGAGCTGGCAGCAGCTTTATCAGAGCTGGCAGCAGCTTTATCAGAGCTGGCAGCAGCTTTATCAGAGCTGGCAGCAGCTTTATCAGAGCTGGCAGCAGCTTTATCAGAGCTGGCAGCAGCTTTATCAGAGCTGGCAGCAGCTTTATCAGAGCTGGCAGCAGCTTTATCAGAGCTGGCAGCAGCTTTATCAGAGCTGGCAGCAGCTTTATCAGAGCTGGCAGCAGCTTTATCAGAGCTGGCAGCAGCTTTATCAGAGCTGGCAGCAGCTTTATCAGAGCTGGCAGCAGATTTATCAGAGCTGGCAGCAGATTTATCAGAGCTGGCAGCAGCTTTATCAGAGCTGGCAGCAGCTTTATCAGAGCTGGCAGCAGCTTTATCAGAGCTGGCAGCAGCTTTATCAGAGCTGGCAGCAGCTTTATCAGAGCTGGCAGCAGCTTTATCAGAGCTGGCAGCAGCTTTATCAGAGCTGGCAGCAGATTTATCAGAGCTGGCAGCAGCTTTATCAGAGCTGGCAGCAGCTTTATCAGAGCTGGCAGCAGCTTTATCAGAGCTGGCAGCCTCCCCATGTCGCACAACACTGTACACTGCGTCTCTTCCTAAATGTCTCAAACCATCCCCGGCTTGCCTTAAATATCTCATCATGAGACGACGCACCTGGTGTGTTCCTTAGAAGGTTCACATACAACACCTTTGCCCGAGCACAAACTTCAAAGACACTATCACCCAGTAATTGCCTTTCATTCATCCAGACCAACAGCAGCTTTTCAACCTTTTCTAGGATTTTTGGACGTTTCTTGGTAACTTTGGTAACTCCTTTAGCCACATCAAGCCTTTTAAATTCTTCCTTCCTCATCAAGATGGTGGAGATTGTTGATGAGGACCTGCCATACTGTGAGATCAGTCACACTCGGGCTATACAATGATTTCCTTCTTTAAAGCTACAGTAATTGTGTCTTTCTTCCTCCTGATCACACTATCTTCAGCAAGCAGCTTTTTTGGCGACATCGTGAGTTACAAATTGTAGTCACAAAACCACAAAAAACGAGAAAAGCACAAATAAATGAAGAGGGATGCTTGTCCTGCGTGTTGCAACACCACCACTGTCATCAGCGGCGTCAGAGAACCACTGGGAACGCTAGGAAGCATCACGTGGTTTTCACCTTAATTGAGCGGAAGCTCAATTAACTCTCCACCACTAACCATAATTAACCCCCACCCTTCACCATCCACTAACCATAATTAACCCCCACCCTTCACCAACTACTAACCATAATTAACCCCCACCCTTCACCAACTACTAACCATAATTAACCCCCACCCTTCACCAACCACTAACCATAACCCCCACCCTTCACCAACCACTAACCATAATTAACCCCCACCCTTCACCAACCACTAACCATAATTAACCCCCACCCTTCACCATCCACTAACCATAATTAACCCCCACCCTTCACCATCCACTAACCATAATTAACCCCCACCCTTCACCAACCACTAACCATAATTGACCCCCACCCTTCACCAACCACTAACCATAATTAACTACCTAACTAACCAGCCTCCACCATTACTGTGGTGTACAGGTGGTGCCAGTGGACGCAACATGGCTGACGGTGTTGAGATATGTGGGCTACAGCCTCTCCTTCCTCTTCATCATCTTCTACATCATCGTCGTCCTCGTCTCCAGGTAGGTCACAACACCACTGTGTCACCTCCAGGTAGGTCACGACACTGCTGTGTCACCTCCAGGTAGGTCACGGCACCACTGTCACCTCCAGGTAGGTCACGACACTGCTGTGTCACCTCCAGGTAGGTCACGGCACCACTGTGTCACCTCCAGGTAGGTCACGACACTGCTGTGTCACCTCCAGGTAGGTCACGGCACCACTGTGTCACCTCCAGGTAGGTCACGACACTGCTGTGTCACCTCCAGGTAGGTCACGACACCACTGTGTCACCTCCAGGTAGGTCACGACACTGCTGTGTCACCTCCAGGTAGGTCACGACACCACTGTGTCACCTCCAGGTAGGTCACGACACCACTGTGTCACCTCCAGGTAGGTCACGACACTGCTGCCTCTCACACCTTATTCCCAACGCGCATGTTCCATTACTAGAGCTTTTATTAGCAGATTAACAACACAAGGTCAAGAAGACAAGTAGATTATTGTCAGCAGTGTTGCACTCATTACTAACCTTGCAACCAACATGTTCAGACTAAGCCAGCACAACTTAAACAAGTTTACTATAATACTAGCGTACCCATATACTATTTTCTGAGGGGAGCGCCTTCGGCTCCACCGGGCTATGCAGGTTGATATGAATGTATTAGACTCCGGGCATCACTCAGAGCGAATGGAGTTCTAGGCCTACCGGAGACCACGAGCCAGAACTTGGCTCCCTCATAGAGGCACGAGGAGCAATGGCCTATAGAAACCCCCCGTGTGGCTGGATGCATTCTATGTCTGCCATTGACCGGGTCAATAACCCAGAAAGGTAGGCGCCCAAAAACAAACCCTATCTGGTTAAATTATTGTTACTGAAAGCTGAACTATTGGACAGAACTTTCCTAAATGAAAACGAACAAACGAGTCTGATGTCACAACCGTCACCGCGCAACTGTCATTGCAGCTCCGCACTCTCCGGGAGGGGGATCCCCAGAACTCTGCGCCAGCTATCCAAACCCTCAGTTCTGTGGCTGATGTAAGACCTGGCAGTCGTGCGACTGGCTCAGGAATCTATTCAGTGCTGTGCCTTGTGGTGTGGTCCTGTCCTTTGGTGGTGTGCGAGTCAGGAGTAATATCACCAGTACTTGGGCTGCATGCGCCTAGAGTTACGACCCCTTGTTCTTCCCCGGCTATTGTTCGTCCTGTTCCTTTTGCCCTGCTTTTGGCTCTGAAGCGTCTGAGAGTTTTGGAGTCGGGGTAGGGTTTAGCTGTGGTGAGACTCGGGCAGTATCGGGGGATGCCCCATCTGGTGTGGCGAAGGAGGCATTCAAGTTAGTTCCTCCAGCCGGTGCTTCTCCGTGTGATCAGTGGGCCCCCCTTCATTCCAGCTTTTCTAGCGGCCTCAGTCTTTTCTTTTGAAGCTGAGAGTTTGGAAGACAGTTCGGCCCTGGGTCCTGATATGGAGGCTCCTAGGGTGGGGGAGGGGCTGAATTGAGGGCCCTTGGGCCCCGTTTGATCCCAATGGGTTTTGGCACCCTCTGAGCGGGGCTTGTTGCTGCAAGGGGTGGGGTTTTCCTTATCCCCCCCTCCCTAGTACGAATTTGATATAACGTCAACCTCCTCCTAGAGTTCAGTTCCGGGTTCCCTTGGTTACTTCAGTTCTTTCTTTCCAGAGGTTTTCGGCCTCCTGCATCCTGCCTCATGAAGTGCAGGTGGTAATTGCGTCTTACCTCCTTCCCGACCCAGATAACACATCAATAATGGATCTTGCCTCTTTTGAGTTCTGTTTTTTTACTAACTGGGTGTGGTACAAGGTTCCAGAGTCGTCCTGGTTGGCAGACAGTCCTATCTTTTCGTTGGGGGGTGTGGCATACATTCTGTCGGTCCTGCTCGCTTGAGTGCTGAGAGGCCCTTGCTGTGGTACAGGTTTACCTGGGAGGCGAGTTTGAACACCTCAGTGCATGTTTGTTCGCCCCTGCCCTTCAGTGGGATATCGACCAGGTACAGCTTCACGTGCAGGATCCCTTCCTTTGAGCTACCCTGGTTGCTGAGGATTTGTGCACCCGTAGCCATTTGGCGTAAGTTTTGTTTCTTTAACTTTCTCGAGCTGTCTTTGGACTGGCTTGAGGAGGACGTGGAGGTGCTTGGGGGCACCTTCTTGGGTCTGGTGCGCTGGTCTCAGCAGTGCGGGCGTCGGCTACGCTGTTGAAGCTGTTTGCACCGATCCTGCGGGAGGCAGTGTCTCTGTTTATTGCTTCTCGTCTTGTGTGCCGGCAGGCGATGTTCACTCAATGCGTGGTATCCGTAGGACCCGTGGGTGGGTCTTCTTGGAAGGGTCGTGCCAGGGCTTGGGGTTCCTCACGTCGTGGTATTTGGTTCTTTCCCAGCTCGCTGGGTTTGGGTTCCTGGTGAACTGGAGGAAGTCCCATCTGGGTCCCTCTCAGGTTCGGTCTTGGCTGTGTATAGTGTGGGATTCTCAGACCGCTTCCTTGTTTCTCCCTCCGGAGGCTCTGCTGCGGCTGCGGTCTCACCTTTGCCTGTTTCTAAGGGACTCCTGGGTTACACGGCTGTTGCTCGAGTGTTTGTGTGGGAGTCTGAATTTTGCCATGATAGTCTACCTGCCGGGTCGGGTATGGCTTCGTCGGCTGTTCTGGTTCCTTCGGGACGTCCCTTCTGCTTCTCTCACAATCGCTGGGTTACGTTGGCTGCTGCGCCGCCGACTTCCTCTTTAGGTTTTTTGGGGTTCAGTGCCTTGGCACCTACCCGAACCCTCGCTTAATGTGTTCATGGATGCGTTGTCTCTTTGCTGGGGCTTTGTGACCAGTGATTACCAGGCCGGCCAACATTACATTCAAACCAGTGTTGAATGTAATGAAACGCCATTTTCTGAGTGACACCCGGAGGCTTCCTGGTAATCTTCCCTCCCTCTCGTCGGCGGTTTTTCGCGTGTTTTGACATCCAGCCTCAGAACTGTAGGTTTGGATAGGCAGCACGGAGATCTGGGGCTCCGCTTCCCCCCTCCCAGGGAGGAGGGAGCTTTACAAATGATGGCGCAGTGACGGTTGTGATGTCAGACTCGTTTGCTCGTTTTCGTTTGGGGGATTTCTGTCCAACAGTTTGGCTTTCAGTAGCAATATTTTAACCAGATGGAGTTTATTTTGGGGTGCCTACATTTCTTAGTTGTTGACCCAGTCGATGGGAGACATAGAATGCTTCCAACCACACAGAGGTTTCTATAGGCCATTGCTCCTCATGCCTCTCTCAGGGAGTCCAGGTTCTGGCTCGTGGTCTCCGGTAAGCCTAGAACTCCATTTGCTTTGACTGGTGCCAGGGTCTAATACCTTCATATCAGCCTGGATAGCTTTAGGGAGCCTCCAGGTCTCACCCAGAAAATGGCGTTTCATTACATTCAACTCTGTTTTTATCTACATGTTATCAAATTAACTCAATGACTTCAAAAATTAAATTTCTGCTACAATTTAAGAAATAAAATATATTAAGAAACAAGCAACACCCGACTTGCCAGTTTTCCTTGCCTTTATTTCCTGGGAACCAATTGTTCATACCTTAAGTGACCCATGAAGGAGTTGCAGACCCTCCCCCCATGAAGGAGTCAGACCCTCCTATGAAGGAGACAAAGATCTGTAAACAAATCTTGTGTGTTACTTGGGCAGGGATCTGAAGGACCAGTTCCACGTGATGGGACTGAACCTGGCGATAGTGGTGCTGCTGGGCGCCGTGTTCATGCTGGTGAGCGACCTCAACTCTGTGCGTGCCAACAGACACACCTGCACCGCCATCGGCACCCTCATACATCTCTTCTACCAGGCCGCCGGCGCCTGGATCTTCTCCCTGGGCTGTGCCTCCTTCAGCGCCATCACTTCCGGTGAGCCCTCGGGTAGTTGGCGTGTGTTGTGGGTTACGGGGCTGTGTGTGTGTTGATGTAGGAGTGTACGGGAGACTAAACCACTTGGGCTGGACGGTAGAGCGAAGGTCTCACTTCATGCAGGTTGACGTTCAATCCCCGACCGTCCAAGTGGTTGGGCACCATTCCGTCCCCCAGTCCCTTCCCAAATCCTTATCCTGACCACTTCCCAGTGCTATATAGACGTAATGGCTTGACGCTTGCCCTTTTGGGCTCGCCATAGCCCGTGCTACATGGACATTTCGTTCTGAGTAGCTAAATCTATAACAACAACAACAACAGACGCTTGCTCCTGATAACTCCCTCCCCTCATTATTTGATAATTTTACTTGTTCCTTCATCAGGAGTGATAGGGGGTCGCCTCCACTCTTACATCCCCATCTCCTGGGGTCTGCCGCTCATCTCCGTGGGGGTTACCTACCTCTTCTTCTTGTTTGACCTTGGAGAGGATCCGCGCTGCTTCATCTCATGGGCCAACCCGGCCAAGATTGTCTTCTTCGGCTTCCAGATGTTCTTCGTCAGTATCTCCTTCATCTGCGCCACCATCGTTCTCTGCAACATGGCCACTCCCGCCCTCAGGTATTGTCTAATTATGTAAATCTGTGATAAAGCCTGAAGCTAAACGAGCTTCTAAATTCTAAGTAAAAATTAAATGTTACTAAAAATCGCAGCTAATCATTGAAGACTTTGAGCAGAGCTTCAGGTTCGAATTCTCCTTGACTCTGGAACCAGTAAACACTACTCTTCAACACTAATAACCAACAAATAACATTGTAACTGCAGCAGATGGCCCCTCTAAGCCACTCCATAACATAACCCTTATCAAATTGAAAGTGTCTAGACAAACCTTAAATGCCAGACAAAACTTTCCACCTCCCAGTTGCCAGCTGTTCGGCAGGTACTTGTATGTTGTACCACTCGTAACATTCCTTTGCTACCACCACCCGCCAAGAATTAACGTTTACCAACTTATAACGACAAGGTGAGCATCTCCAACAGTCCTATAACTACCTGTTCATCTTCCACCACAGGAAAGACAACCTCATTGATGACTACGGATCATTCTGTAAAGGCGCCGCCTACGTGGTGCTCTTCTTCGACGTGACGTGGATCTTCGGGCTTCTCTGCTACCTCCAACTGGGCTTCACCTATCCCGACTTCTATCCCATCTTCCAAGTGCTCAACTCTTGGACGGTGAGAGGCGAGGGTGAAGGCTGCTACACCAGCCCCTGCTACCTGCACCTCTTTAATGATGGGCTTAATGGCCATCAACCATGCTAAAACAAACATATCCCATTTTCTATGAGCACTTACAGATGGCGTGTGATTTCCAGACCCAGGACCCGTTTTCTATGAGCATTTACCAGACGTACGACCCATTTTCTATGATCACTTACCTGACCCACTACCCGTTTTCTATGAACACTTACCAGACCCACGACCTGTTTTCTATGAACACCAGACCCATGACCCGTTTTCTATGAACACCAGACCCATGACCCGTTTTCTATGACCACTTACCAGACCCACTACCCGTTTTCTATGAGCACTTACCAGACCCATGATCCATTTTCTATGAGCATTTACCAGTCCCACGACCCATTTCCTATGAGCACTTATCAGACCCACGACCCGTTTTCTATAAGCACTTACCAGCCCCACAGCAGGGTTGAGCCCCAAGCTCTCAGTAGTGACCTCGTCGTCACCTGGAGTGGTTGTGCCTCTCGTCGTGACAACTTCACTGAGACACACGATTCCTTCCCTATCTACTACTTTCCAGGATTTGTTTGGTCCTGCTAAGTGGAGAGTTCTAATGTCAGTCATGTTGATCATACACATCCTGATGATTTATTCATCCATGAACACTTAGTTGATTCAGTGTATATACTGGTAGTGTAATGTTGTTTAAGAGTGTGTGTGTACAAGACTGGTATCCCCCGCAGGGACTCGTCATCTTCCTCTTCATGGGCATGGGCTCCAGGAGGTTCAACATGGTGGTCGCTGGCCAGGCCAAGCTTAGGGTGAGTATATTAGTGGTTGAGGAGGTTGTTGGTGGTAGTAGCAGTTACGCCAAATTGCTGCAGTTTTGCTTTTTCACCTGCAGCTATTTGACATAGGTGTTTTTAGTTACAAATCAAGGTGCCAGCAATGATTTGTCATAAGAAAAAGTTCCGTGGAAGCCGACAGACGCGATTTGGCATGGTAAATTTGACCATGTGGATTGAACCTCAGGCTTCCGTCATCCCAAAATACAGTTAGCTCGATGACCCGCACAGGTACAGGTAATCCCCAAGGTACAAGACTGGTATAGTCTTGTACAATGCACACAGCCCCGCTCCTGTGCCAGGTAAGTCCACTACGGGCTCACCATAGCCCGTGCTACTTGAAACTTTTTGTTCCCAGTAGCTGAATCTTAAACAACAACAACATGTACAATGTATGGGTGACTTTAATTTTAGTGGAAATAAACTGGATTAACAGAACAGGGAACAAAGAATCACAGGATTTTCTAGAATTGACGATTGCTTTCTTAAGCAACATATAAAGGAACCAACACGGGAAAATAATATTTTCGACTTAACTAACAGGGAAACAGAAATTAATAACATCGAAATAGGGAGTGTACTAAGGAACAGTGATCACAAAGAAATCAGATTTAGCATAGAATGGAATAGATTTGTAGGAGAAATTTCTGTTAAAGTGCCAGATTTTCGAAAAGCTGATTTTAATGGTCTAAGAAATTTTTGGGGTGAAATCAAAATACACAGAACATACAAAAATATCAAATCCAAACACACAGCATAGAGATCACAAACACATTTACACTTAATATGACATTAACGCACAAACTATGACATTTCCACGTAAATATGCCATTTATACACAGAATAAACAATTTACACCAAATAAGCCATTTTATGCACCAAATAACATTTACACACTCAAATATATAATTTACACACAAAATATGCCATTTACACACACAAAAATTACAATTTATAGGCAAAATATGACATTTAGATACAAAACATGCCAGTTGCACACAAACATAAACCATGTACACAAATATTGCATGTACACTCAAAGTACAACATTTACACAAAGTATGGTATTTACGCAAATATAACAAATTGCATATATGCTCATACAATCAAAATGCGCTTTTACTAAAATTACACAATTTCATAAATATAACTCACAAAATACCCGGCACACAGTCACATAAATCAAATACACTTTCACACTTGCTCGGAACTTCTTGTTCTGAGTAGCTGAATCTAAAACGTCAAATGTCAATGCTCATGAAGATCTATTTTTCACATAACATATAATGAACTTGCACAAATACTCAATTTGCACAAAAATACAGAATTTTTAGTGTAGGTACAAGTGTAGCGTTTTGTGTGAATTGTTAAATTATTATAGTTTGCCTTAGCATAAACTCGGTTTTTTATTAATAATTAAAAGTATATTTTAATGTGGCAAACGCCCTGGTTTATCCAATAGTATGTAGGTGGGTATTTATTCATGTAAATACAATAGTTGGTATGTTTGAATATAATAAGGGTAATTAATAATATTTTTGGACTTGCTGGAATAATATAGTTACCTTGCTGATTGGTTTGCATTAATTTAAATTAAAAGAACGAAAATGATCACTTGGGGGTGAACGAGCTGATGGGTTACTGAAATCTTGTTCTAAATACATTTTTAGGGATTAATATAGTATCAATTTCATCTGATTAAATGAGATAATGGTGGCGAGAACAACTATTGACTAGGCATGTATGGGTTGTGGAGTATGTGTATGTATGTATATATGTATGCATGTATATATATATGTATTTTTCGTATGTATTTTTAACTGTTGGTTTAGAAACAAGTTAGCCGAATTTGGCCGAAAGCTGAGAATTGCCCGAAACGCTATGTGTACTAGTGTCTTTAGGTATTGTAAGTACTAGCTCTATAAATCAATCAGTGTTTGTAACTGCATCTATGTATGTACTTTTCTTAAATAAAATATTATTGTTATTATTATTGTTATTATTATTATTATTATTATTATTATTATTATTATACTGGCTGGCATCCAGCTGGGGTGTCAGATGCGTGAATTGTGGTACGACATTTGGGCAGCTATTTGACAGTTATGAGGACAGCGTATCTCCTGAGTTGCCAGATGTACGATTCTGTTGACTTTCAGTATGACATTATGTTCTAGAAACAATTGTTTTTTGTTTGTTTGTTACCAGTGAGGGAGGGTTGAAATAAATCGCCCGTGATGTTACATCTTGTTTCTAGAATTAAATATTAAAATATATAAAAAAACAAAAAGGGGTACCACCTCTGGTGCAAGTGTAGGGACCCATTGCCTCGGAGAAGAAAATAAAGAGTAATCAGAGAAGACCTTGTGGATCCTAAAAAAATTCAAATATATGTACAATGGGGGTCCTGGCTTTTTAGAGACTTCAATAGTGACTTAGTAATGATCCTGTGCTATGAAACTGTGATGTGAGTTAATGCTAACGGGAGTGTGATGAGCTTGGACTCTCTTGACTCCTCTGTTGGCCTTCTGTTTATTGATAGAGTGATATTATTGAAGGGTAGGAGTGGATACAATGGGTATGAAAAAGGGGTTTTAATTATGGTAATGATTGCCCTAACATGGGTGGAAAATACAGAGGTACTCCTGTAAGGTCCTCCAAAAAGGTCTTCAGCAATTTCAGTCTTATGTTCTATATGCGATCTTTTACTCAGAAATAATCATTGAAAATGGGATTAAATGTCATCAGAGAAAACGGTCTTATTCAGGGAAGATGAAGAATTGTTGGTGGACGACATTGTATATTAGGGATGGTGGGAGCCAGCCCTTTAATTTCTTTTGGGGAGAAATATTGAAAATGGGAATGCATATGAAAATGGGATCAAATGCGCTATCACAGAAAAGAGAGTTATTCAGGGCAGATAAAGACTGGCTGACTGATGACATTGAACATTGGGAACTAGCTGTACTTGTGCAAGCCATCGAGGTAACTGTATTTTGGGATGACTGAACCCTGCAGTTGAAACCATATGGTAAAATTTATTATGCCAAATTGCGGCTACCTCGGAACTTTTTCGCCAAATCACTGCAGGTGGAAAAAGCAAAACATTAGCGATTTGGCATAACTGCCACTACTGTTGTAAAAGAGGTTGTTGTGGTGGCGGTGGTGCTAATATTGGTGACAATTATGGTAATATGCGTTCTGGACATGGCATTATGACTGTAAGCTAACCATACCATGCCGTCACAGCGCCAGATGCTGGTGGGTTACGCCTTTGGGACTCCGGGAGCAGCAGCAGGCGCCGATGACACGCAGAAATTGGGCTCCCCTGATGACCAGCTTCCCACTCCCTCACACGTCCCTGGCACCCCTAGTCCCTCACCCCTCGCCACGCCCTCACCGTCAAAGGTAATGCTTTAACACTCACACCTCATAACTCTGGTTCTCACTCGTGCCTTCTCCTTTACCTCACTCCCTCTTTCCCTCACCTCTCACTGTCCCCTCATATCTCACTGTCCCTCACCTCTCACTCCATCGCCACTCTCACCTCTCAGTGATAGTTTGTTACATAAAACTGCTTCCATACTGTTCCTTTACAACTGTTGTTACTTAATGCTCGTCTCAGCGGGTGAGGTTTCCTTTCATATTGTTAACCTCATGCTTGTCTGCTCTTATCTTCAATATTTTTTAATTCCTTATATTATATTGTACAGAGGAATTGCTATGTAGTTATAATGATTTAGAACATACCTTCATTTCTCACAATTTGGCAATGTCACTAAAAATCTTTTGTGATAATGTCTCCACTTCTCCTATCATAGGAACTTAATGCCCGTGGCATTTCCTCTTAGCTCAGTCTTTCCTGTTCAGGAAAGACTGAGTTTAAAAAATAATCAAATAATAACAATATAATATCCAAGTAACAAAAATATAAATTAAAGTAAATATCTGAGTATTTACAAAAAGAAAAAGATTAAAACTGCTAGGATTTTCCCAAACAAGTTATGGTCCTTCGAACCGGATGGAATATAAACATTAATGCAATATTTACATATATTAATTATAGCAGGAAGACACTGCTATGCATTTTCTTGCCTAACTTTTTCAATCTCTGCTAACAAGTGAACAGAACTTACAACAAGCACTTATTGTTCCGAGCCTGAATCAAAAGAACAATTGTGCTTTTTCTTTACAAGAGGTTGATAAGAGGCTAATTTACTCATAAATGTATATGATTTTTATAAATTTAAGTGTTTACATAATATTGCACAATAACAATTACTGCATGTCACATAAGTTACAAACAATTCTTACACAAGGGTAGGACATTTTAGGCTGGTGTTGTACAGCAACCTTGTCTAATTTATTGTGCTAACCTGGTGTAAGGGTAAGAATTTACACTTGTGTAGAGTTGAATCTATATTACAACCTAGCAAGCACATATTTTTATGCAGCTTCTTATAATAACCTGAGTTGTGTTGTCTACATAATATTTCCATAACTATAGTAATAATTTAACTATAATCATTTCACTGTTGAGTGTTAATCTGTGTCTCTGTACCAACTAAGTGTGATAATTGAGAAGCTAACTTGAGGTAAAACCAGCATAGATACAAGGCTACCACTGAAATTATAGTGTGTGTGATTATAGTGTGTGTATTTTTGAATGTTAAACAGCTCTAGTTCGGGAACTAGTAGCTCTACTAACTCAAGTACTAGAAACAGTCCAAATCAAAGTACATCAAGGCTTAGCACTACAACAATTGCCACACGGCTAGCAAATACAGCCATCATGTTTAATGCAAAAAATGTAAAAGTGACCCTCACTGGTATGAAGGGCCACTTAACATGACAGATCAGTAAATGCGATGATTTATGTAATCAAACTCCAGTTGATTATGTAGAACTGGAAGGCCATCATAAGGTTGCAGAGAGCAAATTTGAACATGTAAAAGAACAGATCCTGAAATATCAGGATGTACTTGTTGCTACCAACACAGATGAAGATGCAGTGGAAGCTGTCGTACTAGAAATGCAGATTATGAAGATGCAATACAAAGAAAGTTACAACACTTTGACAAGTTAATAACCATACACAAGGCCACTACAAACATTGCAGCCACAGCTTCCCAAAACCCAACACAACCAGAAGTCAAATTACCATCACTAAGTCTACCAACTTTCTCTGCTACAGAGGACGAGAGTTGGGATAACTTCTGGAACAAATTTGTCAATTCAGTGGATTCTAATTCCACTATAGCCAAGACCACAAAATTTGCATATTTACAAGGTGTCTTAAAGGATGAAGCATTAAAAGTGGTCTGTAATTTAACCTTCACTGATGATGGTTATGATAGCACAGTACAGCTCCTTAAGAAAAATTATGCTAAGCCAGAAAGGGCTATCAGACTTCTTACCCAGAAACTCTTAGACAACCCTCATCCAGATGGATCAGCTGACTCACGCCAAGCCTTTAGATTGGAGCTTGAGTCTTTGCTCAAGGCGCTTAACAACAAAGAAAATCTGGAGATTCAGACTGGATAATCCAAGTCCGTATGAGACGCAAATTACCCAGTGACGTACTGGATAAGTTGTTTGTCTTACATAACAAATCTTCTCTGACAGTAAAGGAGATTACGGAAGGTTTAAGATCCATCGTAGAAAGACGAGATAACACAGATGGAAAATCAACCTCTAAACCTTTCTTTACCCACTAATAGTAAACAACATAGTATAAACAGTGCTCCAAATAAATCTAAGACAACTTCCCCCTCCCCAAGGTGGAAACAAGGCAGTGTGGGCACATATGCAGTGGGTTCCTCCAAACCTACAGTTAATGTGTCACCAAAAACGGTGACACCCCAAGATGTTGTTAACGTCTGGAGGCCATGTGTGTTCTGTGAAGAACAACATACCATGTACAGCTGCAAAGTTTACCCTGATCGTGCTACATGTATAAAACGACTCAAGGAGTTACGTAAATGCACCCGGTGTATAAGGTCACATAATCCCGACACCTGTGACACTCAAATACGCACCTGTAATAGGTGCCATAAGGGTCAACACCATACAGCACTTTGTGGGGACTCAAGTACATAGTCTCCCAAACCACAGGTGGAGGAAGGAACTTCTGCTTCAGTACAGCTTTGTACCATACTACCTGACATAAGTGTCTTGTCAACAAGGTCTGATCATAAATCAGCTCTACCCACTGCTCAATTGATCATTAAAAATGGAAAGTCCAAGGTCACCATACTTGGATTATTTGACCAAGGATCCCAAATGACTTTTATCTCAAAGGAGTTGGTAGATGCCTTGAAACTCAAGCCTGTACGAGAGACACGAATAGACATAGCAGGATTCCTGACTAACTCAGGAGCCCGAATCTTCAAGGTAGTACAACCTAAAGTACGTTCAGGCGGTTATGTCCGAACGATACAAGCTCTTGTAGTAGATAGATTCCCATCAGATCTGTATGTGTATGGTTTAGGGACAACAGCCAAATTCCTAAAAGAAAAGGGAATTAAATTGGCTGACAAAATCACATCAGACAACCTCTCCAATATTGGAATCCTTATGCGATCAGATGTCTACCATAAGTTTATCAAAGGAATGGATGAAAACAGGGAATGAACCTGTTACCGTCTGTGGGTGGCTATTTGCTAACAGGCCCAGTATTACCACTGAAGCAACCTGCACCTGTAGACCACCAACATGCCAACCCAGTCAGGGTTGCATGACTAGGAGAACAGTCTTCACTACAATTCAGAGATATGTCCGAGGATGAGCTTGATCCCCCTGTACATAAATTATGGGATCTGGCACCTCTCAGCATTGTCCCTGAACAACCTAATCCAGATGATGACTGGATTTACAAACAATATCTAGACTCGGTTGTCTACAGAGATAATCAATACTGGCTCAGGTTACCATGGAAGCTGAATCACCGTTAACCTCCCGTCAACCATTTTAAGGCACAAAACGAATTAAGATCACAGGTGTTGTGCTTACAAAGACATCCTGAGAACTTGACATTGTACCATGAAATAATCAAGAAGCAGCTCGATGACAAATTTATCGAAGTTGTCACAAATGATAACCCAAAAGAAGGACACTACCTGCCACATCACCCTGTACTGAAAAATTCTGCTACTACCCCACTACGGATAGTATTTAATTGCAGTGCTAAGACAAAGCAGAATAGTGCTTCCTTAAATGTCTGCCTTCAAACTGGCCCTAGACTGACACAAAGGCTATACGACGTGCTGTTAAAGTTCCGCATCAGGACTTACGCATTCACGGCCGACATCAGTAAAGCTTGCCTTAGGGTAGGTCTCCAAGAAGAAGACCGTAACTACACAAAGTTCCTATGGATCAAGGATCCTAACAATCCAGTGAATTAATCACTTACAGGTTTGCATTTTTGTTTGGTGCCACGTCTTCTCCATTTCTGCTTCAAGCTACCTTAGACACGCACTTGAAGAAGTCTAATAGCCCAAATAAAACAGAAATTAGTAATAACTTGTATGTGGACAATTTCCAAGGAACAACCAGCAGTGAAAGTAAACTGCTGAACATATACCACGAAGCCAATTGAGAATTAATGGGAGCAAATATGCCTCTCCTGTCGAGGGTCTCCAACAATGCCAAATTAAATCAACAGATCGAAACTGAATTTCCCGACTACCAGGTACCCAAGAAGACAAAAGTACTAGGCGTTGAATGGGATGTGACAGCAGATCAGTTGACAATCAAGTTGGTGGAGCCAGATACCACCAACCTAACAATGAGAAAATTACTCTCACAAGTCAGCAAACCCTTCGACCCATTGGGACTATTAAGTCCAATCTTAATTAATGGGAAGTTGATAATGCAGGAATGTTGGCAACAAAAGATAGGCTGGGATGATCTTCTAACACCTGCCTTACAAGAAAATGGCAAGGACTAGTGAAAGATTTAAGTATCCTAGAGTCTGTCAAGTTCCCTCGGAACACAGTAAATGAAAAGGAACCAATTAAGCTACGTGTATTCTGTGATGCCTCAGGAAAGGCTTATGGCACAGTAGCTTACAGGGTCTCAAATGGGCAAGCCAATTTGCTCACATCAAAGGCCAGAGTGGCACCGTTAAAGAAATGATCATTGCCACAACTGGAATTAGCAGCCTTAATGCTAGGAACAAGATTGGCTCATCTGATCAAGGCCTTAAGCAACATCCACTTTAAAGAAACGGTAGTATGGTCAGATAATAAGGCAGTGCTACAGTGGGTTAAAAACAATAATAGTAAAAATCCTTACGTGAGTAACCGCGTTAAGAAAATAAGAGAGTTATCAGCAGGGTATAAACGGAGATATGTACCCACCAAGGAGAATCCAGATGACTATCTCTCCCGAGGCCTGACTTTACGGCAATTAACAAAGGCAGAGATGTGGTTCAATGGACCTCAGTGCCTTGTCAGTGACCAGTGGCCTAAACAAAAGCCTGGTCATTCATAACTTATGTGGGAAAATCCTAGCAGTTTTATTCTTTTCTTTTTGTAAATACTCAAATATTTACTTTAATTTTTATTTTTGTTACTTGAATATTGTTATTATTTGATTATTTTTTAGTTAAACTTCAATACTGAATTAATGTTCTTAGTGGACTGTTTGTTTTAATTCAGCTGCTAGAACTTATAACACACAGTTGGGGGGGGGGGACAATTTGTGGCTTATACCACTTTGAAGTGAATCCTTCATAAACTACAAATTGTTTACCTAGTTTTTTAATAAAAATTATAAATCATACCACATATGGTCTAATCTACTGAAATTATACTTATAGTTAATCTATCTACAGTATAAAATAAAACGGGGGCCTTAGCTGCTACTGTATGTAGGTGGGGCCTGCTAAGGCTGACTATGTTGTTACTTCAGATTAGGGTGAGGCCCTGTGCCTCAGAGTGCCACGTAATGGCGGCTATCTGGTGGCCTGCAAGGCTTGATGTACAGCAGGGTAACAAATTTCTATAATTATGTTGGGAGCCAGCTGGAACCCAAGGTAACTTCACATCACTCATTCCTGCCGAATGTTTAGAATTAGTGGTTGTACATTAACATATTAAGTACAGATGTGACATGGAATAAGAGGGAAGTATAATGTTGAGTACGCACTTGTGTGAGCTTAAAACTCTTCTATAACCGGCTACTTAACTAATATTACTTAAGTGTACACATCTATAATAAAAGTATAAGGCAGTCGGATACTCAAGTGTTCCTGTTGGGTGGTAGAATTGCTGTGGTAGTTCCCTTAGGACAGAGTAAAATGTCTGTCGTGCGAGACAAGTATCACAACACTCAGGAGCACTTATCCTGTTTTGTTGTGATTCTGTCTGTGGCGTACGTGCCGACGCCCCCTAGGGGAGCCGTCCTAAAATATTTGGTGGTTCTATGTATGATTAAGGAATAGTTAAGCTATATTCCTGTTGTATATAATTATAGTCAGTCCTAGTGAACACTGTTTTATTAAGTTTAAACACTAGACTGTTGTTTAAAAGAAATTAGAGTTGATATAAATACGTGGCGTCGATGACGTCACGGAATCATACACACACACGGTGTGTGTGTATGTGTGTTGGATTTCCGACACTGGCTGCCTGTCCCCGACATAATGAATTATTATTATTGTTAATTATACTTGTCTTTCGACAGGTGGCCGGTCGACCTTCCTCCCGTACGTTCTCGCCTGTCTTATAATAAACCTGTACCATCTGTGTGTGTGTGTGAGGGCCTGCAGCTATATGTACCACCTGTGTGTGATGCCTTCAGCCATCTATATATGACGCCTGTCGGTAAGCAATTATTTTAGATGTGCTGAACATGTCTCTTACTCCAAGTCATGCATAGACCCCAATCACTACGAGGGACTTTCAACTAGGAACCATCATCGCTACCAGGGACATCCACTCCTTGAAGGAACCACTGTCACTACCAGGGACCCCCAATGCTAGCAGGAACCACTGTCACTACCAGGGACCCCCAGCGCTAGCAGGAACCACTGTCACTACCAGGGACCCCCGCCGCTAGCGCTAGCAGGAACTACTGTCACTACCAGGGACCCCCAGTGCTGCTAGCAGGAACCACTGTCACTACCAGGGACCCCCAGCGCTAGCAGGAACCACTGTCACTACCAGGGACCCCCAGTACTAGCAGGAACCACTGTCACTACCAGGGACCCCCAGCGCTAGCAGGAACCACTGTCACTACCAGGGACCCCCAGCGCTAGCAGGAACCACTGTCACTACCAGGGACCCCCAGCGCTAGCAGGAACCACTGTCACTACCAGGGACCCCCAGCGCTAGCAGGAACCACTGTCACTACCAGGGACCCCCAGCGCTAGCAGGAACCACTGTCACTACCAGGGACCCCCAGCACTAGCAGGAACCACTGTCACTTCCAGGGACCCCCAGCGCTAGCAGGAACTACTGTCACTACCAACCACTGTCACTACCAGGGACCCCCAGCGCTAGCAGGAACCACTGTCGCTACCAGGGACCCCCAGCACTAGCAGGAACCAGTGTCGCTACCAGGGACCCCCAGTGCTAGCTGGAACCACTGTCGCTACCAGGGACCCCCAGCACTAGCAGGAACCAGTGTCGCTACCAGGGACCCCCAGTGCTAGCTGGAACCACTGTCACTACCAGGGACCCCCAGCACTAGCAGGAACCAGTGTCGCTACCAGGGACCCCCAGTGCTAGCTGGAACCACTGTCACTACCAGGGACCCCAGCGCTAACAGGAACCACTGTCACTACCAGGGACCCCCAGCGCTAGCAGGAACCACTGTCACTACCAGGGACCCGTAGCGCTAGCAGGAACCATTGTCGCTACCAGGGACCCGTAGCGCTAGCAGGTACCACTGTCACTACCAGGGACCCCCAGCGCTAGTAGGAACCACTGTCACTACCAGGGACCCCCAATGCTAGCAGGAACCACTGTCACTACCAGGGACCCCCAATGCTAGCAGGAACCACTGTCACTACCAGGGACCCCCAGCGCTAGCAGGAACCACTGTCACTACCAGGGACCCCCAGCGCTAGCAGGAACCACTGTCACTACCAGGGACCCCCAGCGCTAGCAGGAACCACTGTCACTACCATCAGAAGCTAGAACAGTTTACACAATTATGCATTCTGTGTAGAACAGTCACCAGGCCCCCCCCCCTCACCACACACTATTTTAACGAGTTGTTAAAATAAACAAGACGCGTTAGAACATAAAGAACAAAGTGTACAAAATGGTATTTAACATGATGCTATAGCCATAAATATTCATATTAGGAAGCTGATCACTCTATAAATCGGCTTGTGATGTGAAAGTAAAAATATATTGAGTGAATAGTTTTACATCAGTATATTATAGATATTATAGATATTATAACCCCTGATTAAGGCAGGTATTTTATAACCAACCTGACTAGTCACTTAATACAATGTGCATTATAAGTCACCAGCATTTTGAATTTACCTTGAATTTTTTCGTGTATGTATATTTATAGTATATATATATAATATATAAGAATGTGTGTGTGTGTCTGTCAGAGATTGGAGACCAAACCCGTAGGGTTAGCCTCGCCCAATATTTAACAGTAATTGCTTTTGGAAACATGGCCAACATGGCCGGCGTCAATGTTGGCATCAATGAGAAGAGTGCCCCATGACACAGCACCAAGACTATCCCCACTTCTCCCCACCTCCACTAAACTTTAGGTATAATAATGATTCGACTTAAAAAATATTATTTTTGAACATTTTCTTACCATATTGCAAAACATTATACGTTGATGTCAATAAAATTAAAAAAAAATTATATCATTCCTTGCTTGTAATTAGGTGTAAAATGTGACTGCTGGCGGGTGAGACGTGGGAGGCCATCAAGGGCAGGTTAGTCACAATATAGCTGTATCACCGCGCACCTTCACTACTAGAGTGGATATGCTGTACAATATATTAACTCCTTGACATATATCCCTACATTCAGACATACACACACAATTTAAAGTAGGTCTTTCTGTGCCAGATTAACATCTGTGATATAAGGTCAAGTTCAGAGGGATCTTGACAGTGCGTGCGTGTGCACGCGCACCAACCTCTGCTACTCTGCCGGCCGTCTTGGGCATAACGCGTGTTCACTCACCTTTGTCCTGCACTCTTACTAATAAATTTGTTTGGCAAGTGCTTTTTTTGTCATTTACTCCTTTTAGAAACACATACACACACACACCAGGGGTGTGGTAGCCTGGTGGATAGCGCGCAGGATTCGTAATTCTGTGGCGCGGGTTCGATTCCCGCACGAGGCAGAAACAAATGGGCAAAGTTTCTTTCACCCTGAATGCCCCTGTTACCTAGCAGTAAATAGGTACCTGGGAGTTAGTCAGCTGTCACGGGCTGCTTCCTGGGGTGTGTGTGTGTGTGTGGTGTGGAAAAAAAATAGTTATTAAACAGTTGATTGACAGTTGAGAGGCGGGCCGAAAGAGCAAAGCTCAACCCCCGTAAAACACAACTAGTAAACACACACACACACACACACACACACACACACACACACACACACACACACACACACACACACACACACACACACACACACACAGGTATCACTTGGGAGATGAAATACTTCAAGAGTCCGAGAGAGAGAAAGACCTGGGGGTTGATATCACGCCAGACCTGTCTCCTGAAGCTCATATCAAGAGGATAACAGCAGCAGCATATGCCAGGTTGGCTAACATAAGAACGGCCTTTAGAAACTTGTGTAAGGAATCTTTCAGAACTTTGTATACCACATATGTCAGACCAATCCTGGAGTATGCGGCACCAGCATGGAGTCCATATCTAGTCAAGCATAAGACTAAAATGGAAAAGGTTCAAAGGTTTGCCACCAGACTAGTACCCGAGCTGAGAGGTATGAGCTACGAGGAGAGACTACGGGAATTAAACCTCACTTCGTTGGAAGACAGAGGAGTTAGGGGGGACATGATCACCACAATCAAGATCCTCAAGGGAATCGACAGGATTGATAAAGACAGGCTGTTTAACACAAGGGGCGCATGCACAAGGGGACACAGGTGGAAACTGAGTGCCCAAATGAGCCACAGAGATATTAGAAAGAACTTTTTTTAGTGTCAGAGTGGTTGACAAATGGAATGCATTAGGAAGTGATGTGGTGGAGGCTGACTCCATACACAGTTTGAAGTGTAGATATGATAGAGCCCAATAGGCTCAGGAATCTGTACACCTGTTGATTGACAGTTGAGAGCCGGGACCAAAGAGCCAGAGCTCAACCCCCGCAAGCACAACTAGGCGAGTACACACGCCACCTTCCCCGGAGGCCGCCATCGTCACGGTGGTCCTTTAAACTCCTGTACATGTTCTATGCCAACTGCTGCTGATGTGTCGACGTTCCTTTGTCATTGTGGACGACTGGCAGTGTCCCCCCCCCTCCCGTGGGTCTGGAGTCATGGAAAACTCTCTGCACCCTGGAGTGGTCAAAATCCAATACTGGCTGTTTATTATACAACAACAATACAATAAGATACAGCATAAGATACCCGTTGGGTGAGGTTGAAGTAGATACAGCTGAAGAGAAGTCGGCGTGAGGAAGCTCTGAAGTTGAAGAAAAACTATGGATACACCGAGCTGCAGAGTTGGGAGCGTTATGATGCTGAATGTGAGAGTTATTGGTGTTTGGACACTAATACAAATGTCCTCAGTCAGAAAGGACTGTGCCAGCCAGGACGTGAAATGGCGGGTGTGCAGCTTATACTTTAAAACTGCAATAAACGGCGGGAACCACCGCCAGAGTTCCTAAACAATGGGACCCTTATCCACTAGGTCGTTAAGCTCCTCAAATGCTTAGGGCAATCTTAAGGGTGCTCACGGGTTCTCACACCAAGTTTGATTTGATGTGTGCGGCTATGAATCTGGTTCGGATCCAGAAGCAGGCCTTCATTAAATATTACAAGAAAAGAACAGTTCAATATGTTGCAGCCTGGGTGGGACAATAATATTGGAAGGTATTGGCATAAAGACAATTTTCTTTTAGCAACAATAACAATTTATTCATAAAGAACTAAATCTAATACAAGGCACAAGAATCTTAACGTTACGTTAATGTAACGTTAATGTAATGTAATGTAATGTAATGTAATGTTAATGTTAATGTAATGTAAGGACATTTTTTTCTGAATGTCCTTAAGCGATATTAAAGACGGCTCTCCAGACAGCAGTATAGCACAGATTCCGATCTGTGCCACTTCAGGCTGATATAGTGAACTAGACTGAACATTACGGGTGCTCACTTACCAAAACCAGCTGTGGCTATCTTGAGGTTATCTTGAGATGATTTCGGGGCTTTAGTGTCCCCGCGGCCCGGTCCTCGACCAGGCCTCCACCCCCAGGAAGCAGCCCGTGACAGCTGACACGGGCTGGTACCAGGTACCTATTTTACTGCTAGGTAACAGGGGCATAGGGTGAAAGAAACTCTGCCCATTGTTTCTCGCCGGCGCCTGGAATCGAACCCAGGACCACAGGATCACAAGTCCCGCGTGCTGTCCGCTCGGCCGACCGGCTCCCCTGGCTAGGCTGAGTACCAACCACACAACAGTACCAGCTGTGGCTAGGCTGAGTACCAACCACACAACAGAACCAGCTGTGGCTAGGCTGAGTACCAACCACACAACAGAACCAGCTGTGGCTAGGCTGAGTACCAACCACACAACAGAACCAGCTGTGGCTAGGCTGAGTACCAACCACACAACAGAACCAGCTGTGGCTAGGCTGAGTACCAACCACACAACAGAACCAGCTGTGGCTAGGCTACATACCAACCACACTACAGAACCAGCTGTGGCTAGGCTGAGTACCAACCACACAACAGAACCAGCTGTGGCTAGGCTGAGTACCAACCACACAACAGAACCAGCTGTGGCTAGGCTACATATCAACCACACTACAGAACCAGCTGTGGCTAGGCTGAGTACCAACCACACAACAGAACCAGCTGTGGCTAGGCTGAGTACCAACCA